AAGTATTCCTTTTAAGTTTTAACGGGAACTAATCATGTTTGCAACTGTCGGTTATTTTTGTAGAAACAAATGGAAGTACAGCTAAGTTAAACAATTCTGCTTCTATTTCAACTCCCGATTCCAACACTTCAGCTACTATTTCAACTCCTGATTTAAACAATTCAACAACTATTTCAAAAGAGAGCAACCTTGGCATGGTAAATGCATCAAATCCAGAGAATAAAGGGGAAACAAATTCAAGTCAGGTGGAAACGGTCATCAAGCTGCCTACGGGCACGGACAATTCTTCTGTGAAAAATGTGTCAGAGGAAACTGTTAATGTAGTGAATGGAACTAGTTCTAGTAGACGGCTTTTAGAAGATAAAAATTCAAGTGAATCACAGGATGGTGGTTCTGGATCTAAAGAGAATAATAAGGAGGATGTTCCTGTTGCAACTGTACAAAATGAGGGAAGCTTGGAAGCAGATGCTGATTCATCTTTTGAGTTGTTCCGTAACAGTGAGGAACTGGCCGATGAGTATAGTTATGACTATGATGATTATGTTGATGAATCAATGTGGGGAGATGAGGAATGGGCTGAAGGGCAGCACGAGAAAATGGAGGATTATGTCAATGTTGATGCACACATCCTCTGCACTCCTGTGAGTTCTAACTTTAATGTTTCTTCTTTACACGTGTATGGGCACACTGCACATGGATTTATGTATGTAGGCATGATACTTATTCACTCCTTTGCCATATGCAAGTTATATTTGGTTGATGATTTCTTTTTTCCGTCAGGTCATAGCGGACATCGATAATGATGGAGTATCAGAAATGGTTGTTGCTGTATCTTACTTCTTTGATCACGAGTGAGCTCTCTTCCATAGTGTCAAAATTCACTTATTTATTAATATTTTTGGAGTGGAATGAAATCACATCAAGTTTCATTTTAAATTCCCATTAAAGGTGTCTACCTTCTTATTTTAGAGGATTTATACAGTTTAGACTCTGATAAAGCAAGTATTTTCTAGGCATGGTGTACACTATAGGATTTATCAAAGCAAGCATATCTTTTAACTTGTTTCTGTAAGTTTGACAAATAAGTACCATATGTATGTATTTCATGTAAATACTGCAAGCAGTATACAATCTGGACTGTTGGAGTTATATCTGCATTTGGAGTAGTTGTAATGACCTGGTATGGTCGCCAATGAGCTCAAAACTATAGCACTATTTGTATTGACCAGGAGACACTCACGAGATCTGTAGATATGATGTAAATGAAATAGAAGGGTTATTTTAAGTTGTAGGTAGATTCTGTTTGATCTAGAAATTTACGGTGCTCTTGGTTTCTTCCTTCATCCATACAATAAATTGTAATAACCCTTTAAGTTAAACTTCCTGCAAAAATCAATTTGGTGCATTTTCTTTATCATTTGTTATGCAGCATCATCCAAGATTGAAATGTGAACCGTGTGTTGGAGTTTGCTTAGTAATTAATGGCTTAATGGCTTGAAAGTAAATTCCCACCTTGTACGTTCGCAGGTATTATGAGTCCAATGAAGATCATCGGAAGGAACTGGGTGACATTGATCTTACAAAATATGTTGCTGGCTCAGTAGTTGTTTTTAATCTCGACACAAAGCAAGTTAAGTGGACTGCGGAACTAGATCTGAGTACAGAGACTGGGAAGTTCCATGCTCATATATATTCTTCTCCAACTGTGGTGGATTTGGATGGTGATGGGAATCTGGACATTCTTGTTGGAACTTCCTTTGGCTTGTTCTATGTCTTGGACCATCATGGTGAATTAATTTTTCTTGCTCTCATTGCTTTGTTTGCTGACATTTTTACCTCAGAGTGCATGAGTTGCTTTAAGTTCCCTGGCATACAAGACACTGGATCATCTTTGATGTTACATACAACGCTTTCTGTTTAGTGATATGGAAATTGAATGGTTTCTTTTGTTCAGGCAAGATCAGGGAAAAATTTCCTCTTGAAATGGCTCAAATTCAAGGAGCTGTTGTTGCTGCTGATATCAATGATGATGGAAAAATTGAACTTGTGACCGCTGATGCTCATGGAAATGTTGCTGCATGGACTACAAAAGGAGTAGAAATTTGGGAAAGGCATCTTAAGAGTCTAGTTCCCCAGGTACGTTAAATGTTTGATTTGATATTAAGTTGTGTACTAGTACAGTAGTTGGTTCAGTTGTTTACTGATTTCTTTTTCTGCTCTGGACCTGGTGAGATTAGTCTACCATTTTTCTGTAGAGATTAGCAGTTTTAAACTTGCATGCACAAATTTATGCTTGTCATTCTTCTAGAACCTGGTAAATTACAACTTGACTTATATAATTCCTAGTGAATCTGATGCAGAGTTTTGTTCCACAGGGTCCTACTATTGGTGATGTTGATGGGGACGGCCATACTGATGTTGTGGTTCCAACGTTATCCGGGAACATATACGTTCTTAGTGGCATAGATGGGTCAATTGTTCGTCCTTATCCATATAGAACTCACGGGAGAGTTATGAATCAAGTTCTTCTAGTTGATTTAAGTAAAAAAGGAGAGAAAAAGAAGGGACTTAGCCTTGTTACAACTTCGTTTGATGGTTACCTGTATGTAATTGATGGACCTACATCATGCGCCGATGTGGTCGATATTGGTGAAACCTCGTAAGATGTTTTTAAAGTCTTCAATGTCCCCACATCTTTAATTAGTTCTCCCCCTTTCCATGGTTTACCTGAAACATTAATCTCTGCATGACAGATATAGCATGGTCTTAGCAGACAATGTTGATGGTGGAGATGATCTTGATCTTATTGTTTCAACCATGAATGGCAATGTCTTTTGCTTCTCGACTCCTGCTTCCCATCATCCCCTCAAGGCATGATAGATCTCAAGCTTGATCTGTCGATAGTTTCTTCTGTTGTCTTCAGTTTTTATTTTTTTGCTTTTTGTTGGGTTATAACATTTTGTTTTTAATCATCTTTGTTGTGTTTCCTTTCGCAGGCATGGAGATCACCAAATCAAGGGAGAAATCATGTTGCAAATAGGTATAACCGTGAAGGTATCTTTGTTTCACATTCATCAAGAGCTTTCCGTGACGAAGAGGGCAAGAACTTTTGGGTGGAGATTGAGATCATAGATAGCTATAGATACCCATCTGGGTTGCAAGCACCATATAATGTGACAGTAAGTTGCTCATTCCCACCGATTATTTTGGCCAAAGTCAACTACACGGCCCTCTGTCTCTTGTATGCACACGCAAGTAGCTTGTGAGTCTAATATACAAAACTCAGTCAATATTTGTTTTTTGTTTTTTAAACCATGCAGGCAACGCTATTAGTGCCAGGTAATTACCAAGGAGAGAGAAGGATAAGAATAAACGAGACCTTCAATCGTCCTGGAAAGCATCGTATGAAGCTTCCGACAGTAGGTGTAAGGACTACGGGTACTGTTTTGGTGGAGATGGTTGACAAGAACGGACTCTACTTTTCAGACGATTTCTCACTCACATTCCACATGTATTACTATAGACTCCTCAAGTGGCTGCTTGTCCTACCAATGCTTGGAATGTTCGGCGTGCTTGTAATCCTTCGTCCTCAAGAAGCTGTGCCTTTGCCATCATTTTCGCGAAACACTGACTAAATGTTCAACCTTTATCAATACAAAGACAGATGCTAAGGCTCACGAAATGCGACGGCCATTCTCACCCGAAAAAGTGCAGAAACCGTGGCGGATGTGACAACAATGTGCGCTTGAGTGGATATTTTTTATGATCAAGCTAAGATTGATCTTGGTTTGGCCGAAAAGAAACTGGGTTTTGAGCAAATAGGTGTCGGAACTTGTAACATAGTTGAATATGAGTCAAGGAACGAGTACCAAATCCAAGTTTCTCAATGATAATTGTTTAGAGGATGATTCTATATATATCTCTATAAATTGGCAATCTCAGTTTTCACTCAACCCTTTAATACTTTCAGTAGGCCTCTCTAAGTTTGGATCACTAAGCCATGCTTACTTGAAAAGAATTGGTATTGATATTATTTTGACTCGTCGGCTTTCTATCTGTTTACTAAAAAAAAATATCAAATTATTAGCCGTTGCGGCATTCTTATTTGTTTAATAATATTTTTATTATTTTGTAGTCTTGTTCGTTGTTTACTTTGATATTCAACTTGATATCAAAGCAGGTTTGATCCTTCAAGGTTTAAGCTGCTTTTCACGAGTATCAGTTTTTGTTTGTCTGTTTTCTCGGTGTCAGTTTCGTCTTTAGGTTAGGATTTTCTTGTTTGAAAAAAAAAAAAAGATGACTAGTTGATCCCAAATTTATTCCTTCGTCTTTACTATATCTAGCTGTATCGGTTCATAACTTTGCCCATCCCAAAGTTATATTACCATAAATGGGTTTGCTCTCGTGTTTCATTTACGAGAGCAACTTACATAGCACGGATACACTGTTACTGTGATGTCCTGTAGCAATGATACAATGACATGTGAATATAAATTTACATATATCTTTATATCATTGACACGAGACGCCACAATGACGTGACACGAAAGTCCTCCCCCAAATACATACTCCCGTTGGATTCATACTACCATACTAAAAAGGGACGGAGTAGAACTACCTTGTAGGTCCTATACAAGGCAGTTTTTATTCGCAGTTGTTATTCATACCACCTCCCCCTCCAGATTTCGATTCCCTCAAAATCAGGAATCAGACTCCTGATAATATGTGAGGCCCGCGCTACGCTTGGTTCCCCTTAGTTTTGTAAACAACGGAGTAATTCGGAATATGAATGGCTCTCATTCTACTAATACGGTTTTCGTGTAAGTAAACATGCCCTAAAACGGTTTTCGTGTAAGTAAACATGCCCTAAAGTGAATGGTTTCAGATATAACATTTTTCCTTTCCTAAGATAGAATACATTCTACCATAAGCTTCGGTCCAAATATGAACAGAGTCCTAATTTGATGCAAAAAGTTATCACAGATTTAAGCCAAACTATATAACCCCACAAAACTAATCCATTTATATCTCAATAAAGCTCAAAAGTAAATAAACATGTTCAAAATACAGACCAAAAATGGAAATACAGGTCCAATAAGCAGAATGGAATATGATCACACGATACAGTAGTGATTGTCACGCTCTCGTTTTCTTCTTTTGCACTCGCATTTTATTTCTGTCCAAAGACTGGAACAAACAATACTAGAAAACGAGAGTGCGAAGATCACTTCGGAGCTCTCGGAAGAGAGCGCAAAAAGACATGCTAGATAGGCCTCTTTCCGAGCCTCTTAATCTCTCTGTCCATGTTACCAGAAAGCATCAAAGCAAACATCTTGTAGTCGCAAAACAGAGACCAAAACGGATGCCCGAACGTCGCCGGAATATTCCCCTCCACGAAAAAATGGCTGTACCACGCGAGTCCGTACCCAGAGAGAGGCACACAAACCAGAAACCGCCAATCAAACAGCAGCGAGTAGAGGAGGAAGGAGAGAGAAGCCAGGGTTCCTGCAAAATGCCAGCGCCGCGTCGATGGCTTCGAGTGCTGGCTCATGTAGAAGGCCCAGAACTCCTCCAAGCTCCTGAATTTCATATCTTGGAGTGAAAGTAAGAACAACCCAGTTCAGGATTCTGGTTTTTGTGAGGACCCAAGTGGAAAAATGATCAGAATTCGGATTCGGGAAAGATTTTGGAAGACGGTATCTAATCTGAATTTGGATAATTTTTTGGGGGTTGAATTAAATTTTGTGTGGGGGGAATCTTGAGGTTGAGGATGGGATGAAAATATAAATCTGGAGTTTTGGGTGATAGATCTTAGTTTTATCCGCTGTGTGGTTGGCGTGGCGTCCGTGGGAGGATGAAACAGAGCGGGTGAAAGTATGAGAAGGTGAACAGTTTCTGTGTGTGTGTTGTGTGTGGTTTGAATAATGCAAGTAGGTTATATTAATGTCTTGTCCACGGCAGCGACTTTGTAGTTATCATCCGGTTTTTGTTTCTTTTTTCTTGGATTTAACATGTTGATTAATTGAAAAGAACAAGGGGGATTGAAGAGTTTTTTAAATCCGAATTGATATTTCATTTCGATCATTTGATGGACATCCTAGTGTACGGTGTACCATCCAAATATAGTGTAATATGGAGAGAAATTTACATGTGATATTGTCGTATTAGATCATGACACCACAATGTTAAAAAGAAGGATATCGTGGAAATCATCTTCATTTCATTGATACTGATATGCTTAGTCACCTTAACCATTAATAAGAGATGAAACAAAAATGTTCTCTACCAACTGATAAAGAGATATGCTTGGCCACCTTAACCATCGATTTGATATAAAAGGTTGAGATTTAATGGATGTGCTTTTGATGTTTAAATCAAAACCTTTAAGATCAATTCAAGGGCCTGTGATCACAAATCTTTGGTCACTACCAAGTGACCAACAGAGTTGGATTCGTAGATGAAAATGCTTTGGAATAGGCATTTTATAACTATTGTTGGCCGAAAAGTCTTCAGCAAACAAATTTTTATAGGACGTGAAATATTTATCTTGATCGAAAGATATAAATTTTGCCTTTAAAGGTGAGATTGCCAATTAATGAGGAAACTAAAAAGGATCTCAAATTTAGTCTCCTGGTTGGAAGAATTCATATAGTCATATACATACATACATACACGGATAATTCAAATAGAAGATAAAGTAGAACTTCGATAATTGAATATCTGATAAATTAATAACAATACTTTTGGCTGGTCCCAACTCGAGATAACATGTTAAATTAATAATTCGTTAAATTTATAAGATAATACATTATAATTTTTTTATATATAGATCCTATGTAATATATAAATTAATAGTTCCCATTTACTCTGACATTTGTTTATTTAACTATAATTTTTGCTTGGTTAAATGTTTATAAAAGAAAATAAGTAGATCCATGAATTTACTTGATTAATCAAATACATACAATTGTTAGTTCGTAAAACGATAAACTAATACAATATACAACATATAAGAAAGTATGTAATTTCTTGATAAATTAATAAGTTATTAATTCATTTGATAAAAAAGAACTGTTATTAGCGCTTCAAAAATATCATTTTTTACTCCTCATAAGTCTATTTTTCTTCCTAATTATAGAAAGTTTAGAATGCCGAATGAGATTTTTTGAGTACTAATAACAATTCCGTTGATGAATTAAAAACTAATAATTTATCAATTTTCTAATATTTACTAAATTAATAATTTTTTATTGATCACAAGCACCATGTCAGTCAGAATGTCACATTCATCTGACTGTGAAATGCTGCTGTTTTTCTATTGGCCCATCCGTAGCATATGCTTGGAATCCATTGGACTCAACAAAGAAAATTAAGGATTAAAAAAAGTTATAAAATAGAAAAATAAACGTTATGAGTAAATAAAATTCTTGCAAAATTATTGGCCAGGACGGCTGGATTCATATAAATGTGATGAGGATATATATTTTGTAGTGGTTCATATAAATCGTGGCTCAATATAGTTTTTTTTATCGGTGAACTAACAATTCGTTAATATTCATTTTCTCATCGAGAATTTTAATGAAAAAAAAATATTTCACATCGAGAATTAACAAAATAATGATATATTTCCACCTACAAATGAATTAAAAATAAGGTAGTGTTGTCCACGTACCTTTTTTTACTTTTCAATATCTTTGTTAATTTTTGTTTATTGATCTTCTTCAATTCATTATTCCAACGACCGAAAATTGAAAAAATATATGAGAAGTAAAAATGAGTGTGTGGATAACACTACCCTACAAATATACAACTTAAGAGCAATGGAAAATAACAAATGCAATACAGAAGCACTTCAGACAAACATTTTGCATAATCAAAAGCTGAACTCTACATGATCAAATGACCCTAAATTTTGAACTCCCAAGTGAATATTTTATGTTCATCTGTTTCCTAGCCTAACATAAACATCGGACATTTACCAACAAACGTAAGCTAATGATTTACTTGCGCAAACTGATGGAAATTTTGGTCTAGAAGACGCGCTCTCCAGTAGCAAATAGGTTCCAAAAGATTGTCGTCGCGAAATATAGCCCTGCAGTGACCGTTAGGAATGCCTGAAACGATCCTAACCATTGTACAAAATAGCCAGTTCCTATCGTGCTGATTATCGCCGCCACTGTCCCGGCTGAATTTGTAATCCCTGTTGACACAGAATGTCATCGAATCATTGTAGTCAGCTAACCAATTTAAGAGATGAGAAAACATAATATAAACATTCCGTTTCTGGCGGGCTAATGGGAAAGAACGTACCATGGAGAAATCCAGCGGATTGTGGCGCTATATCCTGATGAAATGAAACCGCAGAAGCTAAGATCAGATCGGAAGCAAAATGTCCAACATCTATTGGCTATGATTGGATTATTTTGGTAATTAACTATCTGCTGCATCAGTTTAGTTTGACAGTTCTGTCATATGCTTATATGGGTGGAACTTACCTGGATATTAAGGAGAAAGCCGGCTTGACTGAAAGAGCTCAAACACAAGGCTGCTGTGAGGAGTACCGCTGCAGCTTCGGGTGTTTTGGCATAGTTTAGGCCAAGCAATGACACTCCAGGCCCGATGAAACCAATAGACTGTTATGCACAAATATTTGTCAGTATAGTGATTTGTTACAAAAATATACTACAGTGTTCGGATAAGTGCAGCTGAATTTTAATTTGATTTGATTGAATCGTATAATGTTCTTTTAAAGACAGACGGCAATTCAAGGGCTACCTGCATGATCTTTCGAACTGTAGTCAACGAGTAGCCAGCCTTGATTAATGAATCCGATGCTGCACCAGCAATGTAACTGGAAATTGCCATTGATCCCCATGGAACAGCACTAAACCATGCAGCTTGCTTCAAGTTTACACCAAATACCTATAACAATAGAAAAATAGAAATCGTCATTTCCTAGAGCACACTGCCACAAACCACTATTGGTAATTCAACGTGAACACGTATGTGCACACAAATACTAAACCAGTAACATGATAAATTTATTTGCGATCAATCAATTTTTACGCTATTAATGGTGTTAACGTAAACAAAGATCTAGGAAAAATGAACCTACCGTCTTAAAATAAACCGGCATCCATGAGAGCAGAACAAAGTACCCCTGTAAGGTAGACCATGATTAAGAATCAATTGCGCAGCGGAAAAGAAAGGATGAATCCACAGTAAAAGCTATTAGAAAAACTCACCCAATTATTAGTTATGTTGGCACAAATAATGGCCCAAGTTGGAAATTTTGAAAACAGGAGCCGCATAGATGGGAGCTTTCCACCTTTTTTTGGAGAATCAGATTTACCAGCTTGGATCAATCGGATCTCCGAGTTGCTGATGTAACGACTCTCACTTGGATCATTTGTGACTGTGTATGCCCATATTGTCAGCCAAAGCAGTCCAATGGAGGAGAAGAGAATAAAGGGACCGGAAAGTCCCATTGTTGACAACATAACTGGAGTTAGTAGTAAGCCAACAACATTGCCGAGGTGAAATCCAGCCATAGAGATTCCAACTGCACTTGCTCTTTCATGGCTCGGAAACCACCTGCTCATATTACAAGCGACATGAGCATTGACTTCAGCTAAAATTTTGAAGTATTGTAAGTTGAACGCATCTGATAGTTTGTTTACAAGAACTCTCTAAATTCTGTTATAGATTTACTTGCTCTGCAAGTTACCTAAACCAAGCATACTGATACATCATTTGGTAACAAATTAGGTGACCCAAGCATTATTGTAACTACAGTTAGAGGTATAATGAGTAATTATGAGCAAGGATTAGGGAGACATTATATTACCTTGATAAGAGGGTGCTCATGGACGGGAGGGCTACACCTTCAGAGAGTCCAAAGAAGGCGCGAACGGCCAAGAGGCTGGTGGTGGAATGGTTGGCAGCCCATGGAGTGAGGAGAGTTGCCAAAGACCACATGGCCACACCCCATGCCATCACTCTCTTTCCTCCGTATCTGTCTACCAAGGCACCTCCAATCACTGATGAGAATATGTATCCCCATAGAAAGGATGACTGCAAAATGAATCGTTCGAAATTCTAAATTGTCAACAATGAGAAGGAAAAAAAAAAAAGTCAAACAATAAAAACAAATTGCCCATTTTGTAACCTTTCCGTTTTTAATTTCTAGTTTTAATTTTTCTGTTAATGTCTATTTCCCCTACAACTCATTAGAAAGAGCAGTGTAATGGAGGATTATTTTGTTTACCACACTTACCAACCGATAAAAATAATTTTTTTCAATATACATTCTTAACTATTCTAGTTCACAAGTAGGGAGATTTGAACTTGAGTGTAAACGGGGATCCATTGCCCTCTGAGTTTGCAAATAATTACAAAAACTTATCTAAAATCAAACATTTGTGGACGAAGTTTTTCTAGCAATAAAATCCAAAAATTAGAACTTTTACTTGAGAGCCCCATCCAATCCCTATTTGTACTTACACAATTGAACCAACTTGAGATGAGCTTGGGTGAGATATTTCAGCAGTGTAATCTGATGCGGGTACGAATAAGGGGCTAGCTTTTTTCCACAACAACCCAAGAAGTGGAGAAAATTTTCATTGTAATAGAAACATGAGTGATATATCATGTGTTTCTATATAAGTGGTGATAAATTTTATTTTTGAAATTATTAACGTTTTAACATACATATCTCACCATTTGTATATAGACACATGATGTACCACCACGTTTTCCGATCATATTGAAAAATCTCTCCAAGAAGTGACAAACGATTGATGATGTGAGAAACAAATTTGAGATGCAAAAACTACATGCTCGTTGGAAATTATTTTTAAAATGATTGAAAAAACTTTTGATGAGAGTATGCTTTAAAAACCAATCTTTAGTAAAAATGCAAGTGAATCATGCAAAAAGTACAAAGTGAATCCTGAAATAGCACATAGTGCTTCTTGTAGGAAAACTTCCTACAAGAAGCACTTCAAGTGCTTTTAGAACTCAAAACACTTTCACCAAAAATGCTTGCAGTCATTTTAAAAACATTTTTAAACAATATAAACTTGAGATCTCATTTACTTTGAACTCTTTATTTGGCATGCCCTGCCTACAAAAAATGTTAAAAATAGGTGCAAAGATGAAAACTTTACATCTTTCCATTAGGAGGAGGATTCTCTTCAGATTCACTTTGTGGGGATCTTAGGGATCCCCACATCATAACCGTTTATCGTACATCGTGCGGTCAATTTTCATTAGATACTATTTGTGTTTAATTTTAAATAAAAAAGTCAAATGATTTCTGACCGCACGATACACGATGAATGACTAAGATGTAAGAATTCTTAAAATCCCCACAAAGTGAATTTAGATGAGATCCAATTCCTTTCCATTAGAGGCATCTCTTATCAACTCATTTTTATGAACAGATGACAACAATGATGCACGATTGATAATAATACTCTTCAGTAAATGTTACAACGGTACTCATCCATAAACGCTTAACAAGCACTTCCGCAATTTTCATTAGATTACTATTTGTGTTTAACTAAATAAAAACTAGAATATTTCTGGGACGGGGGGGAAAATGAATGACTCAGATGTAAGAATTCCTTGAAAATCCCCACAAAGTGAATTTTGATGAGATCCACTGACATTAGAGGCACTTCTTATGCGCTCAAGGGAGGAACGATTTTTAAAGTTTGATTGAGAGTAAACCTACTACGCCTTCAGTAAATGTTCCACCGGTACTCATTCCATAAACTCGCTTAAACCTCCCTGTGCAGTCATTTAAGTCATCTTGTCTAAAGTTATTCCTCCGCTAGAAGGCACACACGCAAAAGAAAATTTATACCTACACTCCCAAAAACACGTTCCAAACACTAACCAAACTGTGTGCCCGCTAGTTTCGATGCTATGGACCTTTTGGTAATCCTATCATCGCCGTTATTTTCGATGTTCCAAACAAAATGTCAAATTTTTAACAAAAACAAACAAACAAACAAAAAGATGAAATTGACTAGAAGGGAGAAGAACTAAAGCTTTAAAACAGCTAAAAGTACTTCGAATGATCAAAAGCGTTTCTGCGTCAAGTTAGTAGTGCTTCTTACATATGCGGTCGCAAACAAGCTCTGACATAAGTCTATTTTATTATCGAAAAGTGCTTTTGGCTATACTGACATTCCCAAACACGCCCTAGGTTTTTGCGCTCAAAGAAAGCAGAGGACGGGTTTAAAGTTTGAAGTTGAGAGTAACGGACCTTGAAGGTACCCAATGAAGAATGGACCATTTTAATAGAGGGACAATTTAATGGCAAGACATGCGATATTCTTTTACATCAAATTACAAATAGTTTGTTGGAATCTTCAACTCTTGAACACTAATTTGCGCCCAGCCGAATAATTAACTTCCTCCTTTCCTCTCTCTCCTTGTTTTTCCCGGGCAGCATTCCTCTCTCGAAGAACCTAGATGCAAAAGTAGATTTAGACTTCTTTCCAGAGTTTTGGGGGTTTCCAAACCCAATAAGTAATTATGGCTCAACCACTACCAATTATCTTATAAGGATGGTGGTCTTGTACATCAAAGTATTTAGAATGAGCTCCATTAATTGAGTTCCAGCCGGAAAAGCAGAGAATTTAGGGCTAATAAAAAGTATATTGGTGATAAAAAAAAAAAGTGATTATTTTTTGAATATTGACAACCGGCCCTTTTGTGGGAGTTAGGGTAAAGTAAAAGGTCTAAATGCTAATTTCGGGGATAATTAGCTAATTAACCCATTATTTTCTTATTATTATTAGAAGGAATGTTTACATTTCATTTGATAATTGATTTCCCAAATTAGTTTGTGAACCGGAAATTTGATGCGAATACTTGTGTAGAGTATTGCCTTGCGCGTAGGACCGTATGCCCCACCGTTAATTTGTCGACTTCTTTTAGGTTCAAGAAATCCAAAGCCTTGTGAACATTTTTGGCTTTCACCCCCATCACATTATAATGTTGGCTGCATTGAGAAAGGACAGGTGTCAGATCTTCTTACTTTAGAAACTTAGTGACTGCTATCCTATTGTCCGTAGAATTTCTCCTCTCTTTTGGCAATTTTTGAAAATTATGATCATTCAGGAAAGGGAAATAAATTTTCTCTTCAAAGCCTATTAGTCCACCTTAAGTGGGTTTATTAATCAACTTTGGAGAGCGATTTTAAATTCTAGCTACAAGAGAAGAGATTAGCTTAGAGGATATGTTGTTCCCCCCTCCTCTTAACCATTTTTCTACATCTTGCCCATGCCAAACGACCGTTCTTTACGTCCGTTGCTTCCTTCGCCTTTTCGTGCAGCACTGAAAGTAAGAAAAAAGTTAATTTTCCTTGGTTTTCTTCTTGGATGGTGCTCCTTCGGGTTAGTTACGTCGAGTGTGCGGCACGTCGCGGCTGGCAATGGCCAGGAGGTCGGCTCGCATGGGCCGATGAGGTATTGTGGCAGGGACTTTCAACTGCTTTAAGTTGCTTTGGAGAGCGACTTTGGCTAGATACTTAGGTTACAGCTTTGTATGGTTGGTGCACGGGTCGCTGTGGCGCAGGCACAGGCGAGTCAGGGCTGTGTCTTTTGGCTTTTGACATGAAAAGTGAGTTAGGTAAGGTGATTTGAGAATGTCTTTTTGGGCTTTTGGACATGACGTGAGCTAGGTAGGTGATTGAGAGAAATGAAGAGGTTGAGGGCTTCATGAGCTGCTGGAATGTTGGGTTGAACTCCCCTGCTGGGTACCACGAATGGCGTTGGCTACTTTAACTCTCTTCGTTAGGAGAAACGTGGGCTGTTTCTAAAATAAGAGGTGAATAGGATCAAGGCGGATGCATTGGCTCGTCCAATCACCATTGTGGATCCTGCTGCAAGTGAATGTGGAAAAAAGGATCTTCCCTGCCTGCTCAAGAGATGCCGGCTGAGAAAAACCAAAAGACTTCTTTCGCTGCTTATGCAAAGGATGAAAAGTTGATTGCTGCTTATAATCAAGTGATCCACTTCAAGAGAATCGTCGATAGGCTTGAACCCCAAGTGTTGGAACTTCAAGGTGTACTGAAGACCAACGAAAGTTTGAAGAAAGAAGTGGATGAGCTGCAGCGCGTCCATGTTGGTATTGGTGAAGTAGTTGGAGAAGTTGGTGCCCAGGCTGGAGCAGTCGGGGGTGATGCCGCTGCTAAGAGCTTCGCGGCTGCTAAAGGTGTGGCGACCAAATAGTCGTGGGATGTCCAGGCTGCTAAAGTGTAGTCATCTAGGTAGCCTTTAAGATTTTCTTTGTTTTTCCTTGTAGCTCTTGTTTTGCTTGAACTCTTTCGGCCTTTGCTAGTTGTTTATAAACATGTTTTCCTTAGCTTTTCTTCATTTTTGCTTCTTTTGTTCATGCCCTAACCTTTAGACTTGATAGACCAGTGGCAAGCATGCTACTTTTTTATAAGCAGACAAGCTCGCGTAGCCTATGTAGCCGTAGGTGTTGGTATAGAACTTTGCAAAGTTGTTAGCCATTGGGTTGGCAGCCGGATGCCTTACTTACAGAAGTAGACAAGTCCGCGTAACCACTAGGCTGTTAACCTTGAGTTTCTCCAATTCCATAGGTTGCGTAACAAGTATCACAACACTTTAGGACTTGGTGTAGGTTGTTCCGCGTTTGGCAGAGGTGAAGCTTATCGACTACCTAGTATGTCGGCAGTGGATAAAACTTCGTATATGCGCGCTAGCTTGTTTAACCTTTCACAAGAATGTGCGGTTGTAAAAGTCTAGTGCGACTTTACTGCTCGAAGGGCAAGCCGTAGGCAGTTTTCCGGAATCCGTAGGCTACCTTAGTGCACTCGGTAACAGCTTTAGGATTCCAGGGCAGCCGTCCATCGGATGTACTACGTAATGTGCCATCTCCGTCTCTAGGGCCCGGTTCCCCACGGATTAGGCCAAGAGACCCAAAATCCTTCAAGTAGCTAAGCCTTGAAAAAGACCATTGCGGCTACTTCTAGGAATCCCAGCGCAAGCCATCGTGCATCTAGTTATACTAGGGCAGCCCAGCTCATTCACGTCTGGATATTCGGAGTGTAGAGTTTATC